TAAAAATTAATAATAATAATAATACAAAAGAATGAAACCTATTTTCTTGAATACAGGGGAGATTTTAGATAATTTATTTTACAATAAAAGAGCATGATTATGCTAAATGGAAGGTCAGGGGGTCACCAAGGGTCACCAAAGTAATTACAATTTGTCTGGGGAGAGCATTAATGTGTGTAGCAAAACTTCATGTCAATCCATACATTACTTGTTTCACTCAGAATCATCAATGTGAACCTCTGATTGGAAGCAGAGAAAATAATCGGGGATCAAAGATTTTAGGACCTCATTTGGGAAAAATAAAGATCTGTATGAAATGCTGCGCCAATACGTTGAGATATTACAAAGGATTTGACCTGCTGGGGGTGTAACTCAGCACGGCCACCCCAGGCTGTGAAACTGCACTGACAACATGGTCATCACAGTAAGCCAAGGCTAATGGGAAAAGCCCTAAGGATTCATCATCTGGGAACCACAAATGCATAAAGGTTGCTGAGATATTTCCATCTGGGTGAAAAAGGAGGACAGACTGACCAACAGACTTTGCCATCCTGAATATAATGGAAAAAACTAAAGCCATGGACTGTCTATTTTGAAACTTGTGGATATCTGAAAGGCAGGACATTAATCTAAAAACTTAGGGTGTGCTTTGAAAACATTGTTTCACATGCCAAAACAAGTAAAGCTAATAATAATACCATGATACTAGAATGAGACCTTTTAAGGGCCCTCGCAGAGAAAGGCTACAGTGTTTCCATTGAAGCCCAGCAAGTTTACTCACATTTGGAGTGTTTGTCACACAGCGCTGCTTCTCTCATGTCACAGAGGCGTAGAGTGCCTTTACTGCTGCTATAGACAAACAAGTTACAGTGGTGGGGGTGAAATTCAGCCGCTGTGATCACCTCTGTCAGATCCTCCATGTTGGCTGGTTTGATGTCCACGATGTCTGACAGAAAGCATCACTCAGGAAAATAACAATGTGACTCACTCAAGTGCGGTTTGTTTTACCTGCTGAAGTCTACTACACTGTAGGCACATATTCATTTATTCATATGTTTATCAATTTTACTCACTGAGAAATTAATTAGACTCTGACTGGAAATCCACTCAGGCCCATTATCCAAATACAACATAAAAACTTGTGTATGTAAATATATACTTATAAATATGCATACTGCACATACTATGAATACAATGAAAATAATTTACAGGAGAAATAAAGCAAGCCAATATCAATATTTCCTAGGGGGATTGTTCAGAGAAAAGTAATTCCATATTCAGACAAACTGAAATATTCTAGTCCTGCCGTGGGTCTTGTTACTGCACTGTATCCTATGGAGCTGGATTAGAACTCAGAAAGGGGCTGAAATATTTATGCGGCTGTTGAATTATTCATTAAGCTACATTTTCTCTCCTCAAGAATAATATTCCCCTCCCCCAGCGCTGTGTGTCTTTTTGCATTTCTTTTTACAACAGTGTGGGAGTTTATGTGTGCACGTGTGGACAGACATTGAATGCTGAGCTGCAAGTATCTAAGTGTTTATTCATGCGTTCATTATCTGTGTCCTTTTGTTTTAATAAAGTTGTTCCTGCATTAATATGTTTGTGCATGCATGTTTACACTCGTGCATATATCACTGCTGTGTTGTTGTTTGTCTTCATCCCTCTTCACTATGCATACACTCTCTCACCCGCAAAAGGATACTGAAGCTGCGGTCGGTGATGTCCAGGTGCCAGAGGTTGATCCTCAGGTCATCAGCTGACATATAGGTCTCATAGTCTGAGTTGACGGAGATGGAGTTGACGTGATAGGTGTGGGCGTTGGCAAAGACTCGCCGGGGGCTCACCTCCACCATCAGGTCCATCGGCTTCAACACTGGCACCTTGAAAAGAGAGAAAGCAAGAGAGAGCTGTGTAACACCCTACGACACTGAGTAGGAGACAAAAATGGGCAACATAGAAATTTAAATTAAATGTAATAATTAAATGATTAATTAATATTAACCTGCATGAATTCCTTTGACAATAATACATTACTGCTAGAATCCCAGCATGATGTTTTCTACAGCTACACCCCCTACACGCGAAATACACATGTACCTTTGTGCCAGTGACCCATTTTTGACCATGCAAACACTCCAGTACCTACTGACCCAGATATATTGCACAGCTCACTGCATTTAAGAATGTTTCAGTGTGTGCATTTACATGTGTGTGTGACAGGCAGACAGACAAAATACCTGTAGGGAGGTGACGGTGCAGATGTCCTTGATGCGACCCTCCTCATCTTTCAGATTGTATCCCTCTGGCCGTTTGTCTCTCTCACTCACCTTCCACAACTTAATGGTCTTATCTAGTAAACAGACAGGGCCATTAAACCATTGGATAAGAACAAAGATCATTTGTTAATGTGACTGAATGAATAAAAGACACTTGTTGATATGCTCTGAAGTTAGGAATCTACCTGGAGATGTATAAACTGTTTTAGCATAAAGCCAACTGAGGCACATCACATAAATGTAACAGAAATAACATAATACACAACACTCCATCAGCTCTGAAAGACAGTTTGAACTATGAAACTGAATGAGCAAACAGGAAGGGTTTTTTTTTTAATCAACCCCGACAAAATCAAACACTTTGTATTATACTGAAAAATGACTGCAAGCATCTCAGCAGCAGCATTACCTGACTGCTGAGGCAGGTCTTACCTTTTACTGACCTTCAATCATAAATTGTACAATTGTTAAATGAATCAATAAGGGGGCTCTCAGGGAAAATCTACAGATTTCCAATAAAGCCATAAACTCAAAGTAAACTGATGGCAGGACTTCTCTGTCAGGGCAGACGCACTCGGTTCCTAAAGTGCTACTGGCATGTGATGCAACACAAGCAACTCATCTCTCAAAACTCAAAAAATGGCCTTAATTTCAAACACTGTCAGATGCTTGTACAAACAATTTGTAACTCAGACGTGAGCACTCAAATAATGCATTTTAAAAAACACAGTCATTCAGGCTGGTTCAAGTGGGGTTTTTCAAAAAAGTATCGACCAAGCACATGACTGCTTCCACATCTTTGTGGTTCCTCTAAGCTGCATGTTTAGAGAGGGGTTTCTCACCATTGGTGGAGAGGAGGAACTGTGCAGCATTCTGCTGAGGCAGCCATCGGATCTTATTGATCTTCTCCTCAATCTCCAGACTCTTAAGATAGTCGAACTCCGGCTCATGGCTCTGGAAGGTGCTGTAGACATTGTACTCTCCCTGAGAGAATGGCTCAGTTTTGCTCTGAGGAAACAAAAGGGTAGAAAAATGTGCACTTCCTCAGATGTACATTTACAGTGCAATGTTGACATCCCAGGCCCAATGCAGTCACCTTCCCTTTGATCATGTGAAGAAACAGCATGGCACAGACTCTGCACAGCTGTAATGATACACTGAGACAGCAGGGGTATCAGCTGTTAATCAATCAGCCTAGAGTGTAGCTGCTGGGGAACAGTGCACATTCACCACTGCTCTCCCAGCTCAAATGAAAAATGGTATATTTGTGTGTATGAGTGTAAGTGTGTGTTTGTGCGTGCATCTACCTCAGGTTCCCTCTGAAAGATGACCACTCGGCCCCCCTTGTCCCCTGTGGCCAGGAGCTCTCCTGTGTGGTTAAACTCAACAGTGGAGATGATATCGGCTGGGGATAGAGATAAAGAGAGGTACAGGGGCGGAGATGGAGGAAGTGAGAGGAAAACATGTACCATGAAAGGAAAGAATGGGAGGGAGATGGAGAGAAGTCATTAGCTAATTGACCATACATCATCATTCATCTATACAATGTGTTTATATGACTAAATTATTAAATCAAGTCAGCAGTCAACATATTAACATGCAAGGGATTAAAATATGCAAATTAATATGTACAATAAAACAATATTTGATTACTAATGCAACTGTGTGTACGCTTTCTGTCAAAGAGACAGTCACTGACACACACACACAGCTGTTTCACACTAGGGCACAGGTGTTATTTGTGTTCCACTATGACGCATGCACAATGACGCACAACACTACTGCCATTTCACTGTTCATCATGAGTGTGTATAGAAATACTCTATCAACTCTAGTGTCTGAAAGAGTCAACATAACTCAGGAGTGATTGAATATCATTCAAACATTATTTTTTTCAGTACATTAATTTGCATATTTGCAGCAACATTCCAATCAAAAGCTCCATGTTCTGAAACACCAACACACTATGACTCAGTGACACCTCTGTAATATGAGGAGTAAACAGAATATTAACCACTTAGCATTTTCTGACTCAGTGCTTCAGTTTTCCTCCCTGCAACACACAATAGACAGAATCTGACATGGAAAGCACAGTTGTGCCACATAATGACATCAGAGGCTTGAATCTAGTTTCATGTAATCTCCTTCAGAATGCTTATCCTCCTTCCAAACATGATTCAGATTGAAGCTTTGGAGACAGAGCTGCTTTAGAGGCAGAAAAACAATCTTCACAGAAACCATCAGCTGAATAAAAAAAAAGAGACCATAAGAGGGGATGTAGCTAACCTGGAATGAGCCTGTGTGTTATCTGAGGTCATCTAACCCAGCAATTTAAAACTGTGTTTTCACAAAGGCCATGTTAAAAACAGACACTTGCTGGTGATGCTGATCACCATGGTGATAGCCTCAGTGCTGACTGGTCAAATTCAACCAACAAATGAAAAGGTTCCACCTGCCAACAGACAAAAGCTGGTTTAGTTTTCTGTTCAGCAGATTAGTTTCTGGTGAATGGGGCAGTCGGTCACATGTCCGAAACTTAGAATGAACTAGATTTTTACTCTTAGTTTCTGGTGTATGGGGCAGTCAGTCACATGTCTGAAACTTAGAATGAACTAGATTTTTACTTCATGTGTTCCTATCTTTATGTTAAGCAACCCAGACTAACTGCTGGCTCTAGGTTCATACTAAACTTACAGACATGAGATTGCTATCTTATAATCTAAATCTTGGCAAGTCAGTGGATTTCCCAAAATGCTGAACTGTTCCTTTAAATGTCTTTCTATGATTCATATGAAATGCTAAGTCATCTGCCTTTGCCTGTCAAAGTTTAATAACCACATCATGTTAGCATAAACTCCAGTTTCACCTTATACGACACAGTAGAGACATTAAAAAAAACAACTTTTCTCTTAACACCTAATATGTCTTGCAGTTGCTACAACGAAAGTATCAAATATGCAATAAAACAAGTAACTTACTGTAGCATAGATGATGACCTAGATGAAAGAATAAATTGTGTCAAGCATAAAAATCTGTCAGTGACTCTTGGACTGAAAACTACTCACTGCTGACCATAAAATCTATTAAGCAAAATGCCACCTACAAACTCAAAACCTGTTATTTTCAAATGATGTTCAAGGTAATTAAGAAACTAGTTGACTGACTAATTGTTGTAGCCCCCCCGAGCAGCCCTGCTTAAACAATGGCAACATTAACAATTATCTCCAAAATGTCATAGACAGAATAAATATAATTAAATAGACTCATTCCAGATGCTGTGCCCCACCAAGCTTTTAACAAAGGAGTCCACTGAGCTCAGTATTAATAGAAAGAAAAAATGAACACTGGTCTCAATAAGCACTGGCTGTAATAAAAAGCTGAGCATGGAGGGTGTATTTATTGAGTGTCGGAGTGATTCGAAGCTGTAGTCTTGCCTATTTGTGGTAGCCTTGAAAGAGAGAGATTTTATGGTGAGGGGAGGCAGGGACTGTGCCTCGGTCTCTACACCAACGCACCCTTATTCACCCTGCTCCTCACACACTTCACGTTTTACTGGTTCCGTTTCATTTTTCCACTAGTCTTTTCCCTGTTTCTTGATCTGAGTCGCTGCAGTATCTCCTTTATGCCTCAGTTTCAATTTTTCCTCTATTTCACACTCTCTCTCTCTCTCTCTCAAGCCCTCTGCCCCCAGATGTTCTCTCCTCTCTCATCTCTTGTTCCCCAGTTTCTGTCTTTTGCCCCATCTCATTTTCTTCTTGATTATCTATCTACATGCAGCTCTCTGTCTCTCATCCTTTCCCCATGGCGTTCTGCTGCCGGGCTGTATGTTAGCATGAACATAGTGGTGGTGATGCCACTGGTGGAAGAATGGGAGGGATAGAAAGGGAGGTGGAGGGAAGAGGTGCTTGGGCGGAGGCGGTGGAGTGGTCCTCCGGTGAGCAAGGGTTGCCATGGTAACAAGCTGAGCCAACCCGTAACAGTGGTGATTGTAACGGTTAGCTGTATATGGCAGTGTGGTGAAGGAGGAAGTAGGATTCATCAATCCAATCCTCACAGGAAGAAGGAGCACACTAAAATAATTATGGTGGAGCACTTTTGTCCACTAAAGAACATGGCTAAATTAATACCAGGAGCTGCTGCAGATACTATAATCCAAATTGAGGATATGCAAATATTTAATGTGTGAACACACTTGGTAGCACTCACGGAAACACGCAGTTCCCTACTCATGCAGTCACACTCATGCACAGCAGGGAGTTCTGAATGCACATAATGATATGCTGCCAATATATATGCTTTATATTCCATGCAAGTGAGTGTGCGCACGTACAGATGACTGTGTCTCCACTCAGGTCACACAGAGAAACAGCTAAGCTAAGCAAAGCCACAGAAGCGGCACAATGAACATATAAAATATGGAGCACACACTCTCATATGTCTGTTTCTGTCTCCCTCTTCTTTATCTTCCTGGTTCTCTCTTTTTCCCGCTCTCACACACAGCTCACACCCATCTGTCTCTCTCTCCTTATTAGAAGGCACTACAGAAAAACAAATTACTAGGAATACAAACAACCACTACAGATACAAGGGTCATCATCAATGCTGTGGCTACTCTCCAAGAGGCACTGCTGGCCAATGTTGTGATGTAAAATGTGTGTGTGTGTGTGTGTGTGTGTGTGTGTCAAGCTGCAAGCCAGTGTCTTATAATACAGATATCCCACAGTATACAAAACTAGCTGTTTCGATCTCTCACAGACAAATTCATTAGCATCAGTAAGCCTGTCTGACTCATCACCACACTGTAGGAGCTGGGGGGAACACAATGTGACTGCAAGTGCATGCACCCACACGTGCAGTCACATCAACCCAAAACAACACACAAATATGAATGAGCCCAGTGGCACAGAGAAGCATAAAAACATGTGTAAGTGAGAAACAGTAAACACACAAACCTTCAAATGCACTGTGAGGTGTTTAGAAGAGCAGCAGCTCTGTTGTTGGAGCCAGAGATGAAATGATTCAGCAACAATTTTTGGAAAATTATCATTTATTCAGCAAAAATGCAAAACTGTTGCTGGTTCCAGATTGTAAAATTGGTTTAGTTATAATATCTTAATTCAGCAGCATTGAAAATTTGCAAATGTTGGTTGAACAAAACAAGCCATTTTGAGCACTATAAAATTGGTGTTTCACAGTTTTCTGTTTTTTATACCAAACACTTTAAAAATAAATGAGGAAGAACTCAGCCAGTTAGTCAGATAACAGAAAATCATTATTAAAACTAAAATACTAGACATTCGTTAGTTTCAGCTTCTCAGTTATGTAGATTATAGTTATTTTTCTTTGTTTTATGAGATAGTAAACTGAATATTTATGGGTTTTGTTTGACTATTTGGAAAAAAACAAGCGTTTTAAAAATGCTTTCAAAAGGTTTTAAGCATATTTCATTAATGTATAAAGCAAAAAGTAGTTGGTTAATACAAATTAACAGGCTGATTATTACCAAAATAATTGTTAGTTCCACCCATAATTGAACTCATTATGATTAGTGGTTATCTGTGTCTACAAATTTAGACAAGGCAGACATCGGCACAGGCAAAGGAAGAAGGGATTTCCTTATTTATTGTTAAGGCTACTGAAAGAACAGAGAGGGAAACAGGCGTCCCACAGTCCCAATTATAGATATCTTAGGTCTCGGTAAACATGGACCATTCAAGCCGAGCCAAAAACGCACACTCCTTACAAGCCACCACTCAGCAGGAGATGTGTGTGTGTGTGTGCTGTAGCTCAAGCCCTGCATTTCCTGTGTACGTGTGCACAAGTGTGTGTACTCAATTATCCTGCAGAGAAATAAATGGGTTGAAGGGAAAGA